GGGGGGGGGGGGCCGGGCCTACACAATTCAGTCCATAACACATAGCTTACCAGGTATTTATAATAATTGCTTAGGAGTCACCCCAATTTTACAGTTGAGCAATCTGAGCCTCAGGAAATTAATAGATTGTCCATGGTCAGATAGGTAGTGAGAGTTGGAGTCAGGATTGAAACCCTGATGTACCCATCTCAGAAGCCTGAGTTCTTTCTCTGCAGCATGTGGAATATCTTTTTCTTATGTATTTTTATGAGTATTTATATTCTATGTTTATATAGTGCTTTAAATTTTCAAAGCATTGTCATCTGATCTTCAAAAGCTCTGCAGGGAAAGCAAACAGTATAGTCCGATTTTACAGATGAAGAAATGGAGCACAATGATATTATGGCTTGACTGTAACTCTGAAATGGAACCTGGAGCCTCAGCTCTCCTACATCCTAACGCAGATATAGTGTTTTACACTACAGTGAGAGAAAAGAAGGTCTGTATCTGATGTTTTCACAGCTTTCTAATTCTCCCTTTCTGATAACATATTACTCAGGCTTCCCTCCCCATACCACCTTTTCAGAGGAGGGCTGACTGGGATATGAAGATGGGCTGTTTCCCAGCATGTTCTCAGCCTCACAAGAAGGCTTTTAGTTGGCATGGGTGTTTGCCCCAAAAGGGAGCCATATCTCTCCCTTAAGAGAGCAATATGTTGAGAGACTGTCTTCCATTCTGAGACCCTAGCCAGTCTTAGTCCAGGAATGAGAATCCTGGAGCATGCCCTTAAACAATTTATAACAGCTTCCCAGAATCATCTATGAGGCCCTCTGAGCAAACCAGGGCAGGAGCAGCTGTGAAAGTGGATTGTTGGTGCATCCTTTCTATCCTCTAGGGTCATGGAACAGCTTTTTCTTTCCTAATATTGTTTCTCACCTTCGACATTCTTTTTTTTGGGAAAGAGATAATACTAATTGGGAGTCCTTATGCTTTGAAGGATTATTTGCCTGTTTGTTTGTTTTTTGCAGTCCCAAAACCTGAATAGCAAGGATAAGAATTCAGCTTATCACGTAATTAGTTATATTCTTATAATATTCATTTGCTTCTAATTCTTTCTGTGCACTTGTAGCTCAGTAGGGAAGTTCCACTTTGCTATATATTAAGAGTATTGGCGGTTTAAATGATTCTAAAGTGCTTTAGAATTCATTGTCTCACTTTAAATTTGCAGTTTCCCTGTAAGCAAGATGGAGCAGGTATTATAAAATAGATCCAGAAAAGTTCAGTAACTTATCCAAGATGTTAGCAGAGCTGGAACTAAAAAACTAATCTCAACACCACTGTAGTGATCTAAAATAGGAAAATAGGCACCCCTAAGTGGAATAGTGAAGAAACTCAGCCTGCCCTGGTATCTCCATCATTAGGCTTTATGATAAGGAGGAATGTGTTTTGGACTGTGCACTAGGGATTAGTTATTTCTAGCTCTGGCTCTCCTACTATTAACTGTGACCCTGAGCAGGTCACTGCTTTCTCTTGGGCCTTGTTTTTTCTTGCATGAAAGGTGAGGTGGTTGAATTAAACAGTCTTTAAGGGCCCTTCCATCTCTAACACTGTATTTCTGTTACCTTTCAAAGTCAGATAGGAATGGGAAAAAGAGAACCTGATTCATTTATCATTGTATTTAACAAGTATCTGTTGAAGACCTGCTATGGTTTAAAAATCCCAGAGATGGAAGGGAGAATATAGGCTGTGAAGTTCATCTTGGATGATACTAGGAACACTAGTTCCTTAGATACAGAAGGAAAAGAAAGGGCAGGAAGTGAAACTGCTGAAGTGGAGGAGATATAAATTAAGGACAGTCTCCTCTGATGTCCTCCTGCTGTCTTTGAAGAAGGGAGAGTGAGAGAGGCAGCGATGGACATGGATGTCATTTCAAAAGTAGAGGAAAGTGGATTTTGGCTTATCCTTCAGGAAAGGGGCCACCTAGCAAGACAGAAAACTTTTAGACAACAACCACTACTCCAGTTCAACACCACTACTCCAGTTCAACACCACACAAAAAACTATGGCCCCACTCCTATTCCCGTCAGCAAAGGCTGAGTGGGCTCACTAGGCTGATATCAGTGGAGACCAAGTGGGTAACCTGAACTTCCAGCCTCACCCCATGGTAGCAAGGCTTCCCCTCTTCTTTTCTACATACACGAGCATGTTTATAAAGAGAAAGATTCAATGGAAAGGAGGATATTCAAACTAGAAGATGATTTGGTGGGATCAGATCCTAGAGATGGAACGGAGAATATAGGCTGTGAAGTTCCTCTTGGATGATACTAGGAACACTAGTTCCTTAGATACAGAAGGAAAAGAAAGGGCAGGAAGTGAAACTGCTGAAGTGGAGGAGATATAAATTAAGGACAGTCTCCTCTGATGTCCTCCTGCTGTCTTTGAAGAAGGGAGAGTGAGAGAGGCAGCGATGGACATGGATGTCATTTCAAAAGTAGAGGAAAGTGGATTTTGGCTTATCCTTCAGGAAAGGGGCCACCTAGCAAGACAGAAAACTTTTAGACAACAACCACTACTCCAGTTCAACACCACTACTCCAGTTCAACACCACACAAAAAACTATGGCCCCACTCCTATTCCCGTCAGCAAAGGCTGAGTGGGCTCACTAGGCTGATATCAGTGGAGACCAAGTGGGTAACCTGAACTTCCAGCCTCACCCCATGGTAGCAAGGCTTCCCCTCTTCTTTTCTACATACACGAGCATGTTTATAAAGAGAAAGATTCAATGGAAAGGAGGATATTCAAACTAGAAGATGATTTGGTGGGATCAGATCCTAGAGATGGAACGGAGAATATAGGCTGTGAAGTTCCTCTTGGATGATACTAGGAACACTAGTTCCTTAGATACAGAAGGAAAAGAAAGGGCAGGAAGTGAAACTGCTGAAGTGGAGGAGATATAAATTAAGGACAGTCTCCTCTGATGTCCTCCTGCTGTCTTTGAAGAAGGGAGAGTGAGAGAGGCAGCGATGGACATAGATGTCCCTTCCATTGATTCCTTCTCTTTATAAACATAATCATATTTTCCCTATACTTAAAAACAAAAAAATACGTTCCTTCCTCAAAATCACATCTCATTTCTCTTCTTGTTTCCAGGCAAACTTCTAAATATTTGCGGTAGTCTTCCTATCCCAGTCTCTGTTTAAAGTGCCCTTGCTAGTTACCAGTGAACTGAACAGCACACACCTTTGACTTCTAGCAGTCAAGGCCTTTTACCATCAGTTCCCCATCTACTCCCTTTGAGAACTCTATGTCATTCCCACAGCACACCACAAGCCTTCTGCCTTTGACCACGCTGTTCTCTTTGGCTGGAATACCCTTCTACCCACTCCCCTTCTAGGCCCAGTTTTTAAATGTGACTTCTTCTATGAAGTCTTTTTCATCCTTCAAGTCCTCTCTTCTGAGGGCCTACAGAAACTTTTTTCTCACCTGTATTTTAGCACTTTATTCTTCCTGCTTACATTTTAGTTGGTTGTCATCCCCAAGTTTGTCTTCCTTAAAAGGTTTCCCTTTAGTAGGGGACAAAGACCATGGTTTGGTCCCCTTTTATTGCCCCTGCAGCATTTAACACAGCTTGCCATTAGCAGCTTCCAGGCATCTCATACTGATGCTGGGACTTATTTGGGACTTTGGAGGTTCTCTGCTCTTCACCAACTGTCCCACCCCATCTCTACCTGCCCACACGCTCCATGTTTAGGAAAATAAAGAAAGCAAGAGCTAGGAAGGAACATTAAGAATGACAATAGGTGGTAGGTGAGAGATGCCAGTGGAAGGTCAGAGGTGTTGTGGCCTCCTAGCATGTAAAAAGTATGCCCTTTCAAGTTAATTAGTGCTCATACTTGACTTACAAAGAGCTATTGTCTCTACTTCCTGTCCTTTATTAGAAGCCAGGCACTCTAAGGGCTATGCTTGGATGTATGCCTGCAGAGTAAAATGTTGATAGTGCCAACTGTTGGGTGCTGCTGAAAAAAGCTATTGGCTCAATTATCCCTAAAAATGGTGGATAAGCCAAAATCTATTTTCCTCTACTTTTGGAAGATATTTTTAACCACAGATTTTCCTTCTTAATTATATTAAGTCTAATATTAAAATGATACTACTGTAACATAGAGGGGAAAACATGGGAAGCATTCAAGACCAGGAGTTCTAATACTGACTGGTGAGTCAGTTTTCTCACCTGCAAAATGAAAAAATTCAACATGATCATTTTAACATCCTATAAAGCTTTCTAGTTCCCTGGGCCCACACTAACTGGAGTGGGGACAGCCAGGGAAAGCCACATGGGGCTAGAAACCGGTCTCCTAACCCTGGGATCCAATGCTTGGGCTGTAGACCCACCTCTGCATCACCCCTTTGACACCAACCATAATGGTAAGAACTGTAACGGTCTGCACACATAGTAGACCCACCCCCAGGATGGAGTGTCTGGTGTTAACAATAATCATTACTCCTGATAATGTATAGGGACTGTTTGCAAAACACCCTTATACAAAAAAGGACAGCCTCATAGCAAACCTGGGCCAGTCCACTTAGGGAGTGACAGGTCCACGACTGGACTTGGGCTCGATTCCTGTCTGTGGGACAGACCTCCTGCCATCATACGTCTTTTACCTCTCGTCAAAAATCCTCAATTTCAGTGTTTCCAGGCCAGGGCCCTGGTGCCCCATTGCCAGTTTTGCATGAGTCGAGCGTTCCTGACAATGCTGGCCCAGATGGGGTGCAGGCAAGATAGCTTTGGCTGCACTGCAGACTCCTCTCCTGAAAGCCACTGGGCAGGGCTCTCTGACTCTCGGGCCCTGGTGGGAAAGGGGGAGGGACACGGCACATTGGATTCACTGTCCCCATTTGCTTGGTTCAGACTTGTCTCAGAACTGCAGAGTGGTGACATAAAGCCTGCAGACTGACTGCTCCAGTGAGGTCCCTGAGGTGGGGGTGGGGGAACTGGCTGTCTTCCCCAGAACTACTCACTTTCTGGGCCCTGGCTTGTCCTCAAGGACACAAAATTAAGACTTGGTCTCTCTTGCCTCTGCCTTGGTCAATCTGAATTCTATTTTACAGGGCCCAAGCTGTTTCCAAACTTTACCACAAACCCCTAAAACTTCCCCTCTATCAAAGTGTGCAAACTCCTCTTGGTTTCAGTTGCTTTTCTCAATACAGCTCACTGTAATTTTGCATGAATACCTGTTGATTACTGTGCAGCTCTCGGGTCTTTTAGGTGTTTCTTGCCTCTCTGCTTCCTTTTACACACTGGCTGGAGACTTATATTAGTTTTGTAACTGTAGGTGGTAACCTGTTGCCTGGTTTTGTTGTAGATGCTGTCCTTGGGTTTCAGTTTTGTTATCCTAGTTGCTGTGTTTTTAAGGAGGGATTTGGGGAGATTCATAAACTATGCCATAATCATCACTATCTTTTCTATTGTGTCCCTTTCTGGGAGCAAGAGAAACCTTCACAGATATATCCTCATAGACAGCCATACACACCTCATTAGCTGGAATGATAACTCATTCCCTTGCTTACAGAAACCCAGTGACAAGGAGGATGGTATTAAGTCACAAATGGCATCAAGATTCACTACCTAGAACTAGCACAAAAAGGGAAGAGCACATAGGGACAAGTATGGTGAGTAACTGAACCTGAATGGGGCTCTCCTTCAAAGGAAGGAGCAAGGCAGCAATAATGGACAGGGGGACAGATCTGAGTATAAATTGCCAAGAGCACTAATTTTCAAAATTGACAGTAATTCATAAGAACTATATTTTACAGTGTTATCCTGTATACACACACATACATGTAATTGACACAAGTTTCAAGAAACAATCCTTACTGTTACTATATAGGAAAAGAAACCTAGGAAATTCCAAATGTAATTTTATTAATATTTAAATACAATATACAAAAAAAATGCCTAAAAATGTACAAAACCAACATTTTGTAAAGATTGTATTTAATGTGATAGGTGTGCTTGCCTGTTCATTAGTTCATTCCAGTCAGGGCCACAAGCAGATAAGGCTACACGCAAGTCAGGTGCACTGTTAAGCCTATTTCTTTTCTTTGTTTTTAATAATGTCGAGATTGAAAATCCTAGTTCACACAAATGGGTAGTTGTGAATGGTAGTAATAGCGATATACTCCTCCTGCTTAGCAATGGAAACTCATCTTTAAGCTTAATCCAAAATGCTGATAAACTTAATGTCTTACAATAATTCCTCAGTGTGAATGATGAATTGAGCTGCAATAATTCATTCTCTTCTTCAGGCACCAAGTTTAACTCAATTATTGATTCTGGGGTTTGAAAAGCAAATGGATCTTTCATCCAAATATTTTCCTTTAACAATTTAAATTTCTCTTCTGGAAAGTAATGACTAAAGAGCTAAGATAAAGAAGTGAGATGCAACAATATTTCTAATGTTATTTCTTTTAAGCAGTCTTCATTAATAATGTTCTCTTCAATGTGTTGTAACAATGTTGGGAACATACAGTAGCTAGGGTGATTACTTTTAAGTCTTGCTTGCCACAAGGGTAATGTCTTTTGGAATCCTAGGATATGTTCAAGATATTGAAATAGATCATTGTTTTCCCCCTGTATTTTCAAATTTAACTCATTAAGAATGCCAAAAATATCACTTAGATATGCTAATTTTGTTACCCAAATGTCATCTTCAAAAACAGTTGCCAAATGAGATTGCTTTTCAATGAGAAAAATGTAAATCTCATTTCTGAGTTCATATACTCTGCTCAATACTTTTCCTTGAGACAACCAACGAACTTCTGTATGAAACAGTAAGTGGGTATGGTTAACTCCAATCTCTGAACAAAGTATTTCAAGAAGCTGGCTGTTCAGTGAACTTCCTTTAATAAAATTAACAATTTTCACTGCATTTTTCAATACATCCATTAGACTTAGTGGAATTTCTTTGGATACCAAAGCTTCTAGATGAATAAAACAGTGATTCCAAAGAGCACTGTTATGGGTTGCTTCTAACAGTTTTTCAATAACTATGCTTTGTTTTCCAGTTATATTTGCTGCTCCATCACTGGAAATTCCCTTACAGGTTTTCCAGTTTAATTTATATTGACCAACAATACATTTTTCTAATTCAGTAAATAAATCTAATCCAGTTATATGTGAATTCAGATTTAAACAACACAACAGATCCTCTATAAAATCATCTTGCCACACATATCTCACATAAACCAAGAGTGTTGGACAACTTACAATATCAGTGCTCTCATTAAGTTGGATAGCAAAATCTATACCAGACTGTAGCCTTGAAATAAACATTGCTTCTAAATGTTTTGCAATAGTACAGATTCAACGAGATATTGTAGTGTCACTAAGAGGTATAGTTTTTAATTTATCAGCAGATATATCATCAAAAATTGTACGTACCATATCCATACATGCCGGAAGAATAATTTTTTCAGCAGCTGTGTGAGCCATTTCCTCTTTTGCCACTCGATATGCAACTAAATATGATGATAATAAGGCTTTCTCATTCATAGTTGTGGAACGACTAAGAAATTGTGGTGATAACTCTATTTCTTTCTCTTTGAAAATGGCCTTTCCCATCCTCTTCATCTTCCTCCACCACTTTCACTATCACTATGCCTTCCATTTCCTGGGTAGCCTGAGGAAACAGATCTGTAGTATCCCTTAATTCAGCAGTCATTATTCAGGTTCAAGGAACTGGCTCACTTGAGCCAAACAGGGTCTGTTTGCAGGACTGTTCTTTCTGTCCTAGATGTTTTATGAGATTGGTTTTTACAATCCTGCAAGGTAGAAAAATTTAATAAGTATTAAAAGGTAACACTGAATTGCTATGCTGCTAATACTTCATACAAGTACTCATGAAACCAATTCACTAAATCCAATGGTTGACATGGTAAATGCCATTTATGTTAGCTGTGTGCCAGGTATATTTGGTACATTACATACTCAGCTCATTTAATACCCATGGAAACCTAATGAAGTACATATGATTATTATTCCTATTTTATCGATGAAAAAGAGAAGCTCAGAAAGATTAACATATAGGTAGTGCAGTACTCAAACCCAAGTCTGAAGCCCAGGGCCCTGACAATGTTGTTACACTGCCATCTAGTCACTCTAAAAAAGTGATCTGGTCACTCTTAAAAAGTGACCACCAAAGCAGGGTGTACAAGATAATCCACTGGGACACAAGGGGGAAAAATAGAACTTGTATTTATATTTTTAAAATATTGAAAACCATTTAACCTTTCCTGATAAGCCCTTTTCGTACCTCATCTTACAGCATTTATATTGTCACCATTTGTGTTACCCTTCTTGTGTTCGCCTTCCAACTATTATATTTTCTTTGCTCAGATCCCTTCATTTTTAGTGATATATCTTCCGAAAATTCCATTCTGTCTTAGGTATTTTAAGAAGGTTGAGGAAAAGTAATCTTGGTTTTTGACATCTGGGTCAAAGTTTTAAAGGTGGGGAGGGGGGATAACACATTCCTAGAGGCCCTCCCCCAGAGGGGTAGTATGAATCAAAATGAAGGGACTCCAAGGGCATGAAACTCAAAGATGCAGGACTGAGGTCAGGAGCATAGTCAACTCCTCTTTGACCAGGAAAGGCCCTCTTGGATCTTTTCCTGCTTATATTCTGGCCAAGTAGCAGTAGAAAGGCTGGATTTTATTTTACATTTCTTAAATGATCCCAGCACCAAGTCATCTCTTTTATTTTTATTTTTTATTGATTTCAGAGAGAGAGGAAGGGAAAGGGAGAGGTAGAAACATCAATGATGAGAGAGTCATTGATGAGCTGCCTCCTGCAAGCCCGCTGTTGGGGATGGAACCTGCATGTGTCCTGACCGGGAATCCAACCATGATCTTCTGGATCACAGGTCAATGCTCAACTGCTGAGCCATCCTAGTAATCAGTGGGAGAAAGACTCCTGGTCATTTGTCTCCTAATCGCCCAACACACTTCCTACTACCCTGCCCACAAACTCCCTTCACTACTCACCACACCAAGTCAAGCTCAGCTACCACAACTGAAAAACCAAACTAATGTCTGAAATCATACATTTAGAAAACATTCAGAAAATAAGGAAATGGGAAATGTATATAATCTTTTCCTACTGCACCCAAATCACATTTTCCACTAGGCTTCAAACACTCTTTAATCACCACCATTAATGGTAGTGGGCTGGGGGTGAGCAGATGATGTACAAACACTTGAGGCTTAAACTTGTCCCCTATTTAAACACACACGCACGCACGCACGCCCGCCCGCCCGTGGAGCTCGGTAGCTTCAAGAGCCTGCCTCATTTTACACGTTGGTGTCCCAAGAAAAAAGCACTCACCAGAAGGGCAGCATATGGAATGCTTCCGTGGAGAGCACAGAAATTAAACTAGGGTTACTTTTATCTTCGACACCTTGGGGCGAACACCGAGGACGAGACTGCCTCTTCCCAGCTCCAGAGACAGCTCATCCTAGAGCGGAAACGAGACGTCCGTCCCTTGCTGCTGGGGCGCAGCACAGAGAGTGGAGCCGCCTCCCCTGCGTCCAGGCGGGCGGCGGGGCGGGGCTGCGCAGCACAGACGCGCACAGCCGCTTCTAGTCCTGCCCGTCCTCCCCCGCCCGACCCACGCCTCAGCCGGAACCCCGGAGAACTCTGGGGGTGCTGGGATACAAAAGGGAGGCGACTCTGGGGAAGGGAAGGCAGCGGCCTTGGTACCAGGCTCTCCGCTCGCCCAAACCCAGAACACTGCGCGCGCGCGTCACAGAGTCACGGAAACCTGAAGCGCGCCAACCTCTGCCAACCTCTGCCTTCCCCGGCTGGACTGCGGCTCAGCGTCCTCCCGAGGAACCCCAGAGGACTTGGAGTCCCTGTTCCCCAATCGCTGGGTTTGGCTTTGGGGAGGGAATTAATCCTCAGCTTAACTTTAACCCTACGGAAAAAGGGGGCTTACGTTTCCCTCCATACCGGCCTGTTCAGATACGCATACGTTTCTCCTGCTTTTTCTTATTGATGGCAGTAATCGTAATTATTCTAGTTATTATCAAACAATACTACTACTTAGTGATAGTGTGTCTGTGGCAGAGGAACTGCACAGAGGAAGATCAAAGTAAAGAATTAATGGTTTCCATGACCTAACGCTTCATACCCACTAGGATGCCTACAATAAAAAAGTCAGATAATACGTGTTGGCAAAGATGTGCGGAAGTTGGACCCTCAGTACACTGTCGTGGTAAACATTCAGACTAGTGCAGTCACTTTGGAAAACAGTCTGGCATTTCCTCAAATTGTTAAGAGTTACCGTATGTCCCAATAATTCCATTCTTAGATATATACCCAAGAGAAATGAAAACATACATGAATGTTTACAGCTGTATAATCCATAATAGTAAAAAAGTAGAAACCCAAATATCCAGCAAATGATGAATAAACAAAATGTAGTGTGTCCACAGAATGAATTATTATTGGGTCATACAAAGGAATGGAGTACTGATACGTCTAGCAACGTGAATGAACCTTGAAAATATGCTAAGAAACTAGTAATAAAAGATTATATATTGTGTGATTCCATTTATATGAAATACCCAGAGTAGGCAAATCCATAGACAACAAATTACTGGTTGCTCAGAGCTGGGGGAGGAACAGGAAGAGACTGCTAAGGCCTTTTTCTTTTTTTTAATCCTCACCTGAGGATATTTTTTTCATTGTTTTTTCAGAGAGAGTGGGAGAGAGAGAAACATTGATGTGACAGAAACACATTGATTGGTTGCCTCCTGCATGTGCCCCAATCTGGGCCAGGGATCTAGACCTCGGCCTTGGTAGTGCTCTTGACCAAAATCGAACCTGGGACCCTTCAGTCTGAGGGCCGGTGCTCTAACCACTAAGCCAAACAGGGTAGGGCTTAGGTATGGCTATTTTTGAGGGTGATAAAAATGTTCTAGCCCAGTTGGGCGTGGCTCAGTGGTTGAGCGTGGATCTAGTATCCAGGAGATCCAGGTTCAATTCCTGATCAGGGCACATGCTGGGGTTTCAGGCTCCATCCCCAGTAGGGGGCATGCAGGAGACAGCTGATCAATGACTCTCTCATCATTGGTGTTTCTATCTCTCTCTCTCCCTTCCTCTCTCTGAAATCAATAAAGATATATTTAAAAACAAAAACAAACAAAAATGTTCTACAACTGATTGTGATGACGGTTGCACCATTTGTGAGCATACTAAATATCACTGACTTGTATACTTCGCATGAATGGTATGGCATTTGAATTATATCTCAAAAATGTTTTTAATACAAATAATTATATTTCAAGAAGAATGGATAGTTTTATAAAACCAAAGTAGTTGTTTCTCTGGGGACCCTGATTATGCATTGCCACTTGAATGGGCAGTATTTTCAAATACTTGATCTATGGGCAACAGACATTCTTTCCAATGCTGAAGTTATAAGATTCTGAGCTTGGCTAATGTTACCAGTAAGTTTCCAGAACAATAATGGAATTACTATAGTAAGTCAAATTTAAGACATTTTTTGCTGTCAAAATGTTATCAGAATAATTATGACTTTTACTATTACTTCCTAAGTAGATCAAGAAACTTCATCTTTTATAAAACAGTAACTGATACTTTGAATGGCTGTGACACCACTCTAAGTTCCAAGCAATGGAAAGTCCACAAAAGGAACAGACACCTGCTGCAGAAGCTACCAATGACTAGATGATATTCTGAATAACCGTCTAAGCCCTGAAAAATGTTCCATTCCCTATGATGTTTGACCTTGCTGTAGTTGCCATTACTTTCTCTTTCTACTTCCCCACGGCTCTTCAATAATCCACTTGAGCAGGTCTTTGCTCCTTACCACTGGCTGGCTCATTAACTTATAGTCCTCCTTGAAGACATCATATTCCCAGAGCTTTTTCCTCCAGATACTTCCTCATATTTCTGTCCAGTGTTCCAAGTCATCTCTAAGAGACATTACATTATTATGTATCGTGTTTTTCTTCTTTGTGTAAACCTACCCTCTTCCCTCTACCTCCACCTCTATTTTTACATTAATGTGATTGAAGGTAGGTTATTGGATGCAGCTGGCTGGGAATGTTTTTCCATTTATGTAGTGTGTGTGGCAGGGACTTTGAGGACATTTATAATAACTCCATTCTTTGCCTACTGATATACTGGCACAAAGAACCCAAAGTGGCCTGGTGGTATTCTCAGTTTCTAGTTCAGTGGAACAAAGGGTATCTCCTAAAAGAAATGTTCTTTAGATAATCTGGATCATAACACAGCAGACTCTAGGCCTGGAGATAGGAAGCACAAATTCCACAAATGGATTACTGGGTGACAGTAATAGGGGCCACTAATGTTTTGACCCCTTGGTTCCTGTACTCATGTAGTCTTTCTACTGGAGACAGAATACCATATATATATTATTGGCTCAATGCATATCAATGCATAAACTGTGTCCCCAACTATGAAAGGTGCTGTATCTTATATTAGCAATTCAGCTGAGTCTTCAATACATGCCTTTCAACAGTTGTCAGGCTAGCTGCTTCTAAATGAGTAAGCACCATGAACTATGTGGTTACAAGTTCATTGTTACACTTCCTTGACTATAAAATGGGGTTCTTAGTTTAAGGTATGTCCAATGCATAAGGCATTCTGTAAGCTCTCAGATGACGGTGCTGGTGGCGCCAAAGCAGTCAGGGAAGACAAACCCATATTTAGAGCATGTATCAATTCTGGTGTGATATTTTACTTCTTTTGTATTGATCCACGCCTAGTGCAATGGTGGGCATAAAGGAAAAATTAATGAAGTGCTCAGTTGTTCGTACATTTTGTTTAAAGCTATACAGTTTAAACTAAAAATCACAAAATTCATGAGTTGATTCCACTGAAAATTTTGCTCAGAAGCCAAGTAGTAGCTATTATTTCTTACCACACTTTGTTAGGGATTGATGCTATTGATACTCAAGGAGTAAATAAGGGGAAGGTATATCAGAATCTCTGAAGCTGACGTAGTTTACAAAAACATATAGACTGCCACACTTTTGGTTTTTCTTATATTTAATTTGATGTCAAATAGCATTAAAGGATAACATTTGATTTGTGAGCTTAAACAAAGGAGTGATATCTAAATCCCTTCTAAATCACCTTTTTGATTAAGAGAATGGCCAGTCCCCAGCAGATCTAGTTTCACAAGACCCCACATTCTCTCAGGATCCAAGAGATCATAATGCCCTAGGGGCTTCCGCTCCAGCACTCGGGCCGCCGGCCTCAGTGCCCCGCGCTTTACCTAGCCTTGTTTCCGCAGTCCAGTCCGTCCCCCAGGGACGTGGCTCTCCCATTCTCGGTTTCTCTCTTCCACTCCAGTTTGCTCAATGCCCCTTCCTTCCCCCAAGAACCTTAGTAGGTTCCGATCCTCGATTTTCTGTGTATCTCCTAAACCCAAAGGACCTTCAATCCTCTCTTTAATCAGTGTATTCTGTACCCTTGTGGTAGCTCCCCACCGGCTGCCTCAGGGAAGTCCGACCCTTAGGTGTGTCATTCCTCCTCACCTCCAGGGAGTCTCGAGGGTTGGCTGAAGCAGGGAAGGGCCCGCCGGGGCGCTTTCCCAAGTCCGGGCCCGTCACAGTCATTACTGGTGTACTGGCTACAAAGGCGGCCCGCGGGGTTGGCGGGGAAGGAGAGGAAAAGGCACGCCGGCCAGCCTCCGCGGTTCCCACACCTCATCCCGGCCTACACCCAGGGCCGTCATCCGGGGCCTGCCCTCCGCACCCCGCCGCCGGACTCCGCCCCCGGAAGTGCCACCGAGAAGCACCGCCCTCCAAACGGCGTAGAGCGACCCCCAAAAGGCAGGGGTGGCCTCGCCAGCAGAGGTGTCTGCTACGGGACGGCAGCCTGGCCCGCCGCTGCGCTCTGGTGAGCCCCCGGAAGCCGTTCTGGTGTCGCGGTGGGGACGGCCCCTTGTTTTTGCCTCCCGGGGAGGAGGGGGAGGCGCAGGCGCCGGGTCCGGCCGACGGCGGTTTCTGTTCCAGGGAACGCGCGGGGCTGGTGGTGCGAGGGCCTGTTTCTCCTCAGTCCGGGTTTGCCCGGCGGACTGAGGACCCGGTTGTCAGGACCCGGCGACCGTGCCTTGGTGTGAGCTGGGTGTCGGTGGCTTGCCTCGCCCTTTTGGAACCGTGTTTTCGCCTAACAGGGAAGTGGGAGGAGGGCAGCGCCGGGAGAGGCCTCCAGAAGACCCGACGCGAGGGCCCTGAGGGTTGCGGAAGGGAGACAGAACCCGTGTCGCGTCCTTGGGTTTGAAGGACACTAGTCAAACCTGTTTGAATCGCAGCTCTTCCCTGAGTTACTGTCAGGATTGTGGGACGAGGCCTGGCTGCCTAGTCTGAGTTAGAGAAGGGTCTGATGACAAAAGTGGGATTTCGTTATTAGTCAGGACCATTTAGTAATTGAAAGTGGGCTGTCACAGTGTTTGCCAAGTAATTCCTAAGCGGCCTGCTCTTAAAAAAATAATGAGTAATCATAACTAGCATAGTTCTTTGGGTACAGACTTGAGCCTTAAAAGAAATTTGTAAATCTCAAATGTTTTAAACTTTCCACAGAAATCTTTACTATATTAAATTGTCCTTTCTTGATATATATTTTTTAAATACCACAAATTCTGTTTAATTTAGGTGCTTAATCATTATCAACTACTTTTATTGAGTATCTACAGTGTGTAAGGTACTTTGCTAAGTCCTGTGGATATGAAATTACAGGCTGTTTTAACTTACTACAATAATTTCTCCTAATCTCACCCCACAGTGATGGTCATTGTCCACAACAGAGATGGAGGAAATATCGATCCAGGAAGCAGCAGGATCACCAAGGGTCCAATTTCAGTCTTTGGAGACCCACTCTGAAGGTCTGTCCCCAGAGCCTCAGTTCCTGCAGGACACAGACATGGAACAGGCACTCACTGGGGGTAAGGCAGAGAGAGCACTTACATCCAGGAAAATGGGAGTGTAGAGGGGCTTCTGGGCCTGGTATGAGAGAGGCCAGGGACTTCAATAAGAAGATGATCCCCAGAGAGAGGCCTGGAAGGGAGGGGCACATGTGACTTAGTTCAGTCCTGGTCTGGGCCCCTCTGTTAAGGACAGTCCATCTTTCCTTAATAGGCAGAGTGGTAGTCACTCACTCTGCTCCAGCTGTTTTTTGTTTATACAACCTTTGCTTCATCCAAGTTACCACATCCACAATAAGATATGCTATTTTTGCTGCATCTCACAATCCTTGCCTGGCTTCATTTCCTCTTAGGTTTAGGGCCTATCCCTCCGCCTCTTCCCTTCACTTAGTGTCTTCCCTCCTTGTTGACCTTCCATGCTTTGCCACCTGCCACTCTGTTGAAACTCCAGTGTTTGTGACTAATTTAATTTTGGTCAAGAAAGCACCCATTTAATTCCTTAGCTGAGCACAATGCCTGTGTGAATGTATAGATGTCTCATATTGACTATACAATAACATTTTTATGTATTGTATAGATAGATCTGTCTTATACTTCCTTTGTTTTGTAAGAATCTTATCTTTAGAATAGTTGTGGCCAACTGCTGTGAAATAACTTGTGTGTCAGCAACACTGATTAAGTGCCACAGTATGTAGAGTGCTGTGGGGTATTGCAGGAGTGTGGAAAGGATTGTGAGGAAACAGATTGTCATTCCTTATTCTTAGGCATCTTACACACTGGTTGCAGAGACAGTGCCCATTCACAAGAGAAAGGCTTAGTGATGTTTATAGAACTGTTTGGGAAAAGGTCAGAAGTCTGCTAGGTAACCATGGCCCTTTACAAGTCACTGCAAGTTCTTATGCTTTGCTTTGCCCATCTGCAAAACAGGTATCATGCTTAAAATCCTGTATCATGGGTCTAAACATTTGTCAATAGGGCATGCAGGTGCCTAGAAGAAGCAGATTAGACACTCGGTACCTGATAAATGTCCATTGGTTTTACTAGAATGTTGATGGGAAAAAGGGTCCTACTGACTCTCTTCTGTAAGGGAGCCCTGGGGAAGGGCTGCTCTCACTCTTGGCTCCTTTCTCCTCCCTTAGCTCCACCTGTTCCTCAGGTGCCTGCTCTTCCCCACGAGGGAAGCCCAGGAGACCAGGCAGCTGCACTCCTGACAGCCAGGTACCAGGTGAGCTGAGGAACCTTTTTTTCCTCAGGGACTGTTGCTGCTGATTGAGTGTGGCCCTTCCCTCACCCCATCCATAAACCTTGCCTAGAATTTTTTTCAGTAGCAGACTCCAGTTTCGGCACTGATCCTCTTCAGAGACCTGGACTTCACACAAACCACCTCCCCATCTTCCCAACACCACCAGCAAACACTGTTTCTTTTTTATCCCTAGTGTTTTGATGGGCGCTTGTTAGATGTTAAAGGGTTATGGAACTTATTCCCTAGATTCTAATCTGTTCTCCTCCCCAACACACTGGAGACTGTATCATCTCCTTCATTCTGGCCATGATGCTGTAGTGGCCTCATTCTTGAGAGCAGCCAGGCTGTGTTATTTCAGGAGTTTGTGACATTCGAGGATGTGACTGTGCACCTTACTCGAGAGGAATGGGGATGCCTGGACCCTGTTCAGAGGGATCTCTACAGAGAAGTGATGTTAGAGAATTATGGGAACGTGGTCTCACTGGGTAAGGACTGTCTTTTTATTCATTCAGTTGACCTATTGGGATTTCTTTACTGAGTAGATGTGAGGTCTCTGAGAAGGTAAAGTTTGGCTCAGATTCTAGGTCTTAGAACCTCTGAATCCTCTATCTTTAAGGTCATCTCCTCTGGGAGTGGTTTTCCTTTGGGGGTTTCAAGACAGTACATTCTATTCCTTATCCTGAGTTAATGGTTCCTGCTTTTATGGAGTATCTGTTCCTTGTTAGAAAAGGGAAACTTGCTGTGCTTTGCCTAAGTTCTCACCTTCCCTATCTTTTTTTTTTTTTTTTAATGAGAGGGACTCTAGGACCTCCCAACCCCACAACCAGACACTTTCCTCCCTGGTTAATTCAGTGCCCCTGTATCTGAATTTCCCATTTTCTTTGGAAGAAGAAATGCCTTTTTAAAAGATAGGCTTAAATCCTTCTTGTTGAGTAATCTCTCACCTCTTAAGATCCCTAAATTCATCTCCAAGCAGGCAGAATTTGAGAGACTTCATTTAAAGGCATGATTCACTGTGAGTACATTTCAGTGAGTCACCCAGATGGTAATCCTAAGTAACCTCATTCCAAGCAGCAGAAGTTTTAGATTTAAAACTAAGCTCTCCTTTGTCATTTGGGTGGTACAATAGGCAGCTGAGATTAGGCAACCTGTAGTGCTGTGGAGAAGCATCAGTGGGAGTTGCTCGCAGCCCCCTTGATATGAGCATTGCTCCTTTTCCTCTTTTTTTTTTTTGCCTGTCTCTGCTTTTGTTCTCTTTATTTATGTGTGTATTTAATCACAGTTTTTCCTCTCTCTCTCTCTCTCTCTCTCTCTCTCTCTCTCTCTCTGCTTTGCCTATGCTGGTGGCATCCAGGGTTGTTGCTTTGTCTCCTTGATTACACTCAGGATTAAAGAGGTCTTCTTGTCTGTGGGGAGGCAGCCTGCCCACTGGGAAGGTTTTAGCGTGTTTTCCATTCCTGGCTCTTTGATCTTTGTAGGCATACTTCTCCGTCTTCCCACCTCCCGGATTCATAGTGTGAATTCCTGCCCGGCCCTGAGTCATACCCAGGCAAGTGCTTTCTCTGGAGAAACACTTGCAGTTCTTTCAGCAGGAATCTCCAAGAGATGGCCCAGGTATCGGCTTCCCATCGATATTGCTCGTCCCTGCTCGGAAACTCCTTTTCCACGATTATAAGATATTACACTTGATTGATGGAATAGATGATCCCAGGATGCCACCACTATGTAAAATTGCAGCTCCTCAAAAGACCTTTGTTAAATTTCTAAAGGGCCAAAGAAGCCCTCCGTTGCAACCAGATGCATTTTGTATCCTGAATTTTGAATTCATTCAGAAGCCATGGTTGGTGGTCATCTGCTTGTGTTCTGAGAAACCACAAAGTTCAACTCCAGCTCTTCAGTTATGATCTTTTCATGTTATTTTAGAATGTGGAACGTTTGCTGTGCACCCCTCCTTTTCTGTAGTGAACAGGATCTGCCCCTTCTGATGCCTAACTCTCCTGTGACCCCTGGGCTTTCCTCATATTTAACATTCTAGTCTTCATTCTTTAAGTCCCTGTGGCTGCCTCCAAGGTCCTGCCTTTGTCCCCTTTATTCTTTGTTGCTAAACAGATTGATGCATTTACATGACCTTTTTTGATTAAGTGTTCCTTACCTCTGTCCTTGGTGGAGGGGAAGTGGGAGGGCAAAAGAGTTCAATTTCATTATTTCAGGGCATCAAATTGAATGTATATTTAACAACTTTGTATACTGTAAAGTGATGTGTAATTGTAAGATACTGTAAATTTTATCTAATAATTACATAATTTCCAACAGTTGACCTGTCTACTTTTTGGAGTAAAAAAAACTTCTTAGCAGCTTAATCAGCCTAATAGCACAGCATGCTATTCAACTGAATTTCATTCCATTTCCTCTCATTTCTTCACACACACACAGGACACGCATACACACTTACACACACTGGGCACAAATGCCTACAAGAAATCCTTCTACTCAATTTGCTTTTATAACAAAGTCAGGAGCATCTCCTTAGTAATTATTTTCTATGGTCCTTGGAAAGACCTTTCATATTTGTGGGTTCAGCAAACTCCATGTGAATTTTAAAGTTATACACTTAATTAGCTTACTGTTGATGTTATAAAATAAGGATTTATATAATTTAGCCCTTGATTTAGCAGCCCTACTTTCCAGTTCATATCTTTTTCCCCAGGGCAGTAGCTCTGTGTTGTGTTTGTCACAGACATCAGAACTTTGGTCCTTTGGTTAAGTGCTTTGACTATATTGTAGTAAATATACAGAGTATGAACAGCTGAGTAAAAGAGTGAAAAAGTTGGTAAAAAGCTATAACTTTTATTACCAAATCTAAAAAGAAGCATATTCTATTGACAGTGTATATGAATTACCCAAAGGGAGGATCATACCCAAAGGGTAGTTATCTGTGACTTAGTGCTTAAAGTTAAGATTAAGTACTGGAGATTAGGACTGGGAAAGACGCCTGGATTGCATTGCAAATGGGGCAGAATGGCAGGTGCCTGATTAGATGACAACATCAGAAACATGTTTATCAAAATTCTAGTTGATGATAAGTGAGTTGGTAAACCAGGATGTTAGGGGGTACCCTTAATGTTAGGGGTACCCTAACTTTTTGAAGTTAATGTCCTGAGGACAAAAATGATTTTGTATAGAATGTCTTTTACTGCCACAGCTATTTACTATTTCTTGAGCAACCAATATGTTCTTAGGTACTATCTATATATTCCTTACAGTAACCCTGTGAGCTGGTATTACTCTATTTTATACCTGAGGAAACTGAGGTTCAGAGAAGTTAAGTGATTCATACAGGGTCAGAGCTAGGCTTAGGACTCAAATCTGACTCTCAAACCCATGCTCTTTTTCACTATTTTGTGCCTTAGAACAATTGGCCAAACCACATAGGGTATTTTTTTATTTTCATGGCTCTGTACTCTGATGACAGTTAAAAATGGCTATGATAAATTGAACAGATAGGCATAAGGTTGCATAGTTTGGGAGCAGAAAGGACACATTCAAGAAGAAGTAAAATTGTCTAGGAATATATTCCATTCTAATAAGTATATACACAAGAACAGGATTGCTAAGGAGAGATTTTGTGTATTGGTTAAGGACCAGGAAGAAAGGCATGAAGCTTCCAAATGGCTAAATCTAGTACAGCTCTGGTACAGGTATATTTATATTTATTTTTAATATTTTTGCTGTATCCCTTCACCTTTGAATACTGAGGTATATTTTTAAAAACCATATTAAGTAAAAATACATCTAATTAGAAAATAGTCAAGGTTTAAATTTTAAAAATTAAAAGGTTTTAATAAAAAATAAGTAATTTTAGTTAAGAGGCTTGAGCTAGGAAAAAATTTTAAGCAAAGGCTTATTTTGAAAGCACAGAATTTTGACTTAAACTTAGGAAAAGGCATTTATTTATTTATATATTTTTATTGATTTTAGAGAAGGATAGAGAGAAAAAAAGAGAAACATTGATTTGTTGTTCCGCTTATTTATGCATTCATTGGTTGCATCTTGTATGTGCCCTGACCAGAGATCAAACTCGCAACCTTGGCATATCAGGACCACGCTCTAATTGACAGAGCTACCCAGCCAGGGCAGGAAAGGCATTTAGACCAATGGCAATAAACCTGTCGTAATGCTTTCTGTGACCCTTACTGTGGTAGAGTAGAAAGAATATAAACTGTGGAATTAAACTTGGATTCCAGTTATCAGCTGTGATACATTGAGCAAATATTTATTTGTTTTTTTTTTAAATAGATCTTTATTGATTTCAGAGAGAGAAAGGGAGAGGGAGCGAGAGAGAGAGAAACATCAATGATGAGAGAGTCATTGATCGGCTGCAGCCCGCAACCTGGGCATGTGCCCTGACTGGGAATCGAACCCTGATCGCCTGGATCCTAGGTCGACACTCAACTGCTGAGGCATGCCCGGCTGGGTGACATTGAGCAAATATTTAAACTGACACTCATTTTCTTCATCTATAAAAATGAAAAATAATGTCTCCCTTTCTGGTTTGTGCCAAGGATTAAATTAGATTATGTTTGTAAGTACCTAGCTCATAGTAGTTACTCAAATGTTTGTTTGAAAAAGACAAGTGATATGAGCTATAGACCAGATTTTTTTAATTCGAACATTCATTTTAGGAGAGTGTTCAAATTATTTCTTTATAGTGGAATTTCCTCAAATTGAATATTGCTCTGACTGTGCCTAGGGTTTGGATTTTATTATAAAGAGATTTTCATTTCTTTGACACTAGTGATCTCTTCCATCCCTTTTAATTAAAACACTTATGACTCCAAATCTGTTGGATCCTGGCTCTCCAATCACTATTTCTCTGTTCTTTTTATTATGTTTACCTTTTATTCCATTATTAATATATTGGTCTTCTCTCCTCTTTCTATACATATTTTGGAGGAAGGGGTGGATTTCATTCACAATCATTTTTTTTAACTAGTAGATTATTTAAAAGCCAGGTCCCGAAATAAGATGGTTTGTGCCCTAGCTTAACCACTTATGTCCTTGGGCAAGTTAATTAACCTCTTTGAATCTTAGTTTTCCTATTTGTAAAATGGGCACAATAATGGTGACTACCTCGTAAAGGTATGGTGAGTATTAAGCGAGTTAAAGCTTGTATAGCTCTTGGTATAGTACTTTGTACCTACCACCTGCTTAGTAAACTATACCTTAATATTTTGATGATACAGGTGACTATATCTTGAACTTCAGTCTTGTATTTCTAACTGCCTGCTAAGCATTTTCTCTTTTACCTTTCTGTGTCGCCTTAAACACAAGTCCAAAATCAAACCCCTCATTCCACATCTAGCTGATCTTTTATGTTGTGCATATATGACTTAAGTGTAGATATAAATAACCAAAATTTCAGTTATCAAATACTTAGAAACACCTTAATAAATATCTTAAAATTAAAAGTTGAAAATTATGTTATCGGAATTCTGGGCAGAATAGTTGCTGCTTCATGCCACACTTTTAACATTTTTGGTTTTTTAACTTGCAAACTTTTTCATTTGACACAGAGAGCCTTAACTAAACACGTGTCCAAAAGGACTCTATTAATGCCCAGCAGGAATTCAGAAACACAGTAAATAAAGGTCTTTTTTATATCTGTTCTGACCTCTCTGCTCTTAGACTCTCACATGGAATCCCAAGAGGGCAACTGTTAGCTGATCATATTTTCCAAGCCCAATGTTTTAAAAATATTGGTTATTTGTTATATGTTGACACTTGGGCACAAAATTGGCACTCAGTGAGTAGCTCTTAAGTAAATGAATCAAAAGAAGTCCAAGAAACAAGATACATGGTCCCTGCCTTCAAGTAATTTATAAATTAGTAGGGATGATGATACCTGAAACCAATTAAAAAATATAAATTCCATTATATAGTGACATGTCAGAATAAGGGGAACAAATAATAAATTTTCTAGACATTCAGTAAGTGAAGAGAAAGGCTTGTGGAGATGAGAGGCTTGAGCTAAGACCTTGTATGTGTGCTGCTAGAAGCTTTCTGGGCTGAACATGTATAAAAAAGGCCCCTTTGATACTATAATAGTTCTGCCCCTTCAGAAGTAGATTGCCTCTTACTTTCACTTTAAAAGAGATTAGATCCTAGCAGCCCATTATGCAAGCCAGAGAAAGAGCATTTTATGTGAAGACGCACTTGTATTGCACTTTCCTCACTATATATTATAGTTAGTTGTTTATATCTGTCTCTGCAGTTAAGAGTGTAAGGTCCTTGAGGGAATGGACCTTATCTGCTTGAGCCCTTTATCCCCTACATTCTTTGCATATAGGGGGTACCCCATAAATGTTTGTTGAGTAAATAAGAGTGTAAACTCGTAATGGGTGAGGATGTGTCATATTTTTCTTTGTTTCCTCGTTTGAATTGAAATGAATTGTTTCTTGAGATTGGTCCTAGGAATATTCAGTCTTCACTGATTCTGTTGCTACAGTTCATCTCACCATGCAACAGGTGCTTGAATATTCACCTTTCTCCATTCCAGCAAGGTTATATTTTGATGACCTCAATTTTGACCAGGTCTAATACTGTAGACCAGGTCTAACACAAGATTGATCTAGAGGCAGCAGGTAAGGAGTGATAATGATAATTTCTGTGAAATTATCCCATGCACAAATTCCCTTATTTGAGTAATATTTAAATAAATACTATTGCTCCCAAAAGTCATAAAGTTGCTCCTTAACACTCCTTAGCACACCTCTTTATAGAGCACAAATAGGAGATCCTTATAGAGGATCTTTGCCACTCTCACTCTCCAGGCCTTCCTAATGTTTTGTAAGAATTTACTTTCTCCATTAACCATTAGTTAAGAGAAAAAGTGGCTAGTATGGTATCTGGGGATAATTTGCCACATCCCATTTCCTTCTCTATGAGCAGGATTTCCAATTTCCAAGCCTGATGGGATCTCTCAGCTGGAACAAGATCTACAGGTCTTTGATCTGGAAACTAAGAATAGAGAAGTCTTAAGAGATGACTGCTCAGGTGAGTAAGGCAGAATTAATCTGATGGAGTTTGTCCTGTTGTTGAGCCAAGTTGTAGCTGCTTTGGCAATCAGAATGAAGAGCTCTGTCTATATTCCAGAATGCAGAACGCTTTCCTTTTCCCTTTAGTTTTTTTTTTTTTAATTGATTTTTTAAAAATATATTTTTATTGATTTTAAAGAGAGAAGAAGGGAGAGGGATAGAGAGATAGAAACATCAATGAGAGAGAGACATTGATGGGCTGCCTCGTGCATGCTCCCCTACTGGGGATCAGGCCTGCAACTCGAGCATGTGCCCTTACTGAGTATCGAACCAGTGACTTCTTGGTTCATGGGCCAATGCTCAGCCACTGAGCCACACCAGCTGGGCGTTTTTTAAAAAATTGATTTTTAGAGAAAAAGGAAGGGAGAAGGAGAGAGAAACATCAATGTGAGAGCAAAACATTGATCAGCTGCCTCCTGCATACCTCTTCCAGGGGATCAAGCCTGAAACCCGGGCATATGCCCTGACCAGGAATGGAACCTGTAGCCTTTTGGTGCATGAGCCACACCTGCCAGGGCTTCCCTTCAGTTTTAATGAACTCTCTGCATTTATTTTGTCCCTTATCGTCCACAAGTTGTACTAGGTCCCTATTCAAATTGCTTATCTATAATTCTTTTGAACTATTTCCATATTTTCTCCTTGAAACACCTTAATTGTTTGTCTTCTTACTCTGCTGAAAGTACCTTCTGTGTCTACCACACCCTGAATGATTTAGATTCTACCTCACTGTTCCTATTCATACCCTTATATCTGGTGATGAGATTTTGTGCCTGTGTTTCAGAGTAAATAAGCTTTTTTTATACTGATAGATACTATTTAGTTTTCTCCTCTCTGACTTTTCTTTTTCTAAGCATAGGGTACAGATTACATTTGCATTTTCTATTTATATATTGAATCAGATGGAGAAACCAGAGAAGAGAACAAGCTGTTGATTCCTAAGCAGAAAATGTCAGAAGTACATTCATGCAAAATGAGAGTAGGAAGACTCAAAAAGGATGTCACCCAAGTTCCTGAGACTAGAGAAGTGTATAAACCTGAGGACAGATTAGAAAGGCTTCAGGAAATCCTAAGGAAATTTCTGTTCCTGGAGAGAGAGTTTAGGCAAATAACAATCAGCAAGAAAACTTTCACCAGTGAGAAGAACAATGAATGTAATGAACCTGAAAAAAGTTTCACTCTGGAATCTACCCTTGATACAGACCAGAGAGATCTTAGAATACAGAACATTGATGACATTGATAAGTATGACATTAGCCTCAACCAGAATTCAGCTGCTGAGAAACATGAACAAGTAAATCTAACACAGGATTTTCAGAGTAGTGAATATAAAGAAAGCTTAATGGATCTTTCCCACCTTAGTAAGTGTGAGAGCATTCCCACCACTGAGAAATCCTATAAATGTGATGCATGTGAGAAAGTCTTCCATCAGAGCTCAGCCCTTTCTAGACATCAAAGAATTCATACTAGAGAGAAACCCTACAAATGTAAAGAATGTGAAAAATCTTTCAGTCAGAGCTCAAGTCTAAGTCGACATAAAAGAATACATACAAGAGAAAAACCCTATAAATGTGAAGCATCTGATAAGTCATGTGAATTATCTGATAAGTCCTCTAGTCAGAGCTCAGGCATAATGAAGCATAAGAGGATTCACACTAGAACAAAATCTTATAAGTGTAGCAATTGTGAAAGAGTATTTAGTCGTAGTGTACACCTTACTCAACATCAGAGAATTCATAGAGACATGCCCTGTAAGTGTACTGTATGTGGCAGTGACTTCTATCATACCTCATATCTTGCTGAACATCAGAAGGTTCACTGTGAAGAGAAAGCATATGAATACAATGAGTGTGGGATGACCTTTACTAAACATCAAGCAGTTCGTCTCAGAGAAAAGCCCTATACGTGTAATGAATGTGGAAAAGACTTCAGATTGAATTCCCATCTTATTCAGCATCAAAGAATTCACACAGGAGAGAAACCACATGAATGTAATGAGTGTGGAAAAGCTTTCAGTCAAACCTCATGCCTTATTCAGCATCACAAAATTCACAGGAAAGAGAAATCCTCTGAGTATGATTATGAGGAAAGTTTTAATCGTAGCTCAGATCTTGTTCTGCAAGGAGAAGTCCTCTCCAGAGAAGAAGCCTTTGATTGTGATGCATGGGAAAAGAATCTCATTCAGAGAACACAACTTGTTCAGCATCAAAGAATTCATACCAAAGAGAAACCTTATGAATGTAATGAACATGGGAAGATATTTAGTCAGGTTCAGGCCTCATTCAACATCTGAGGGTTCACACCAGGGAGAAATTGTGTGTACTGAATGTGGTAAAAACCTTCAGTCAGCTCAACCTTTATTCAGCATCGGAGAATCCACACCAGAGAGAAACCCTCTGAATGTGATGAATGTAGGAAAGCTATTAGTTAGTGTTAAACTCTTAATTGATGCCTGCAAACCCAAACCAATGAGAAAACCTACAAATATATTGAATGTGGTAAATGCTTCATGTTATGTTCATACCTTAGTCATCATTGGAGAAGTCATACAGGAATAAAATCCCATCACTGTAAGGAATGTGAAGAAGCCTTCAGTCAAAGAAGCTACCTTGTACAGCATCAAATTTATTCCATGCAGAAAGCCTGTGAATGTAATAAATGTGTGTGTGAAGATTCAGTCATATTTCAGTCCTCATTCTGCATCAAAGAATACATACCCAAGAGAAGCCATTGAGTATAGGAGTTCAAGTCTTTTTCATCATCAGAATATCTACACCAGACCAGAATCTGATATAACTCAAATGGAAAAAATTTACTGCCACATTTCAGGCTTTAGTCAACATCAAAATATTGGAGAGAAAATTGTCGATTATTTGCATATGAAATCGTTAATATATAGTCCCAATCTTTTTCATTGCAGAAGAATCTAGCCTGAGGAGTAACATGGTGAATGCAGTGCTGTTTTCTCATGGCATTCTTTAATATAATAGGTGTTGTAAGTAACTATGTATACTTTATTTATGGAATTCATTTAAGCTATTTTTATTTTAATATGGCTTATAAACATTTTTATTTTTCCTGAAATTGGTACTTATTGTTCACAGCTTCCCTAAGGTACTGTTATTACACCAATGTTAAAACATTTTAGCATCTGGAAAGTAGCTCTTAGCTTTCTCTGCTGTTCTCAGCCCAAGTTTTCTCCAAAACAGACTGTTAGGCCTGCTCTTTTCTGGGAACCCTAATTCCTATTTGTTTCCAGCCACAACACTTGGATTCCTGTTGATTTCTCCATTCTCTTAAGCGCCTTCAAATGATGGTTTCCTAGTTTTAAGGTTTTCACCAGCAGGTATGCCATCACTACTTGATGTTGCTGTTGTGGTGTCTTCTTTCCTAAAGTGAAGCATCTTCCTTTAAAAGAATTGGATTTCCACATCTTGTTCACCCATGAGTATGAAGAATTCTGTCTCCCCTGAGTTTGTGAAAGGCAGCTAAACATTTTCAAGCGATGCCCAAGTTCTTTGCTGCCTTATTTGCATCCACAGCCCACTAAAAGAGATGATAAGGACATCAAGGAGCCAAAAAGACTTCTAGTGGTGTAGCTACATTCATTCAGCGTCTACTCTGCATGTTTAAGTTTAGAAATACTTTATATACTTCCATTGAAGGCCAGGCAAAATGCTTGGGTCTGCTTTTGATAGGGCAAAACATAAAGAATATATACTAAAAGATCAGAGAGCTTCATAAGGCAGAGAGCTCAGCCTTCCAACAAAGATATTATTGGAGTATTTCAAGAGAGTTGGCAGTTCTGTTCCTGGAAAAATTTTAACCATTACGATTGTTTATTTATTTATTTGGATTTCCACCCCCAATCTCCCCTCATCAATCTAGGACAGTATTTGAAGTGTGGCATTGTGTATAATTATGTATTCATTCATTGTCGCATTTTTGGTATTTTACTAGAGTCTACAGGCCATATAAAAGAACATGATTGATAAAAGTGATCACAGATGTTGACTCCAGAGTTCAGGGTCACCATCATAACACTTAGCAACAGTTTATGGTTCTTTAGATGATGTCAAAGCATTTTGTTATATTTTTCCATCTTAAGCTCCATAATATTTTGTGAATAAGATGTTATTTTAAATTCTAGTCATTCCAGCAATTGAGGCCTTCATAGTTCAGATGTTATAATATTCAAGAAGGATCCTCAACAAATATATAAAAATGTATTGCTTGCTTTATAAGCATTTTATGGCTAACCTCTAGGATAGTTATACCAGTTATTTTACCTCTTAGCCATCAGCAAGCATAGGATCTAATCAGGGCAAGGTAGGGATCTAAATGTAAAATCAAATGAAAATGCATGTTTTTTTTCTGTCAATGAATGTGTATACTCTTATGTATAGAGACTAATAGTCACCTTTGGTGATTATGAAACAGAGGACTAAGTAATCCCTAAATAGCAGGATATATAAACATCACATGTATGCATTTGGTTTAGGAATGTGCTTTTTACCTCCACTTGAGTAAAGGTATGTTTGATACTCTGAGAATCTGTTTCAAATAAAATCTGAAAGCCTTAGCTGAAAGTATTTGGAAATCTTAGAATCACCTTTCTGGCTGCAACTCAGTTCCTCCAGAAACCTGCTTTATAACAATAGTAGATCATTCCCCGGTGTACAGATACTTGCTCTTTCACAGAACTCTTGAGGAATAAAGTCTGAATGTTTAGGATTTAAAGGGTTATTCTATTGGGATGTTGTCAGTACATAAAATATGAGTAAATTGAGGTTTCAGTTGAACTAGGAGAATATGCTTTAAAAAAGAAAAAAACATTAAAAAAATGAGAAGCCAGTTATCCTTGAGGGCAAGTAACTTGCCACTTTAAGCTTGCTGATATTTAATTGGTTCACTATAATATGAATTTGTGTTCTTAGTTTTTTTAGTCTTGATGTTGGAGAAGGAAGAGAAGAAATCTAATAGTTGAGGGACACCTAGTTTTATCTATCTTCTATCTGTCCACCTACCTACATGTACATGCGTGTACTTGTATATTCAGACTTAATCCTCACAACTCTGCAAGGGAACTAGCTTCATTTTACAGAAGAACTAAAGTATAGAGAATTAAAGGACTTGTTAGGGTTACACAGCAAGTTCAAAGTCAGGTGTGTTTGGCTCCAAAACTTTCCATCATCATGAAGTTGGTATTATACACCAACCAGAGAAATTTTCTTTGATCACTCGCTCTTCATTCCCTGTTACACCCCATTGACTTGCTGTTATCAGTTTGCAACTGATCCTGAATGCTCCCAGAGCTCTCTGGGATACTTGGAGAAAATATCCCAGTCTCTTTTGGGAGCTAGTCAGAGACACACCTCCCTCCCACCTTGAAACAGGCTTGGACAGTTTTGACAGTGACAGGTCACAAATCAAAGCTCCCAAGTTCCTTTCTCCTGCCAAGCCACCTCCACTCCCATCACTAGATTTACATTTACATTTTTCAATGTCCAAATGTGCTGTTAATTTTTTTTTTTTTAAACCCTCACCTGGGGATATTTTTTCCATTGCTTTTCAGAGAGAGTGGAAGGGGGGGGAGAGAGAAACATAGATATGAGAGAGAGGAGAGACATCAGTCGGTTACCTCCTGCATACACCCAACTGGAGCCAGGGATCAAACCTGCAACTAAGGTACATGCCCTTAGCCAGAATCGAACCCTGGACCCCTCAGTCCCTGGGCCGGTGCTCTTACCATTGAGCTTAATTGGCCAGGGCTGTGCTGTTAATTTTTGCTAACTAGAAATTGCTGATGGACATGTATTCTTACCAAGATTTACTATCACTTCTGGTTATGTTATAGCAGTGGAGCAAAGCAGGTATTGGGAAAACCAAGTTTGATCCCTAGGTTCTGGCTTGAGCAAAAGAGTATCTGGATAGAGGTAGACTGGAGAGAGATGGGGTATGCTGGAAGAGGAGCAAGGAGAGTATTTCATGCTAGAGAGCATGTTAGAAGGCCTTCAAATGAGAGTATGGCATTTTCAGGGTAATATATGAACTTTATGGAGAAATGCCTCACCCTAAGAAATAGTATGAGGGTAACTGATGAAGTTAAGGAACAAAGTTTAAAAGAGACTCCTGGGGTGTCATCTCAGCAAAGCATAATGGGATTCCCACAACTAGAATTTTAACTTTATCAATCCCTTCATTCAGTAATACAATTGCCAGACACTATGATGTTCAGTTAACCTAATCGAATGAAACCATCCACTGAGCAAAGACAGACTAGTTGTCAAAGCATTAGCTTTGGAATTAGACACGTATGTTTAGATTTTGCTGTTTACTAGCTGTGTGACTTTGGAAATTTTACTTAGCCTCTTTAGTTTTCTTGTTTATACAACATGGTTAACAGCATGAAAATTAAAGAGGTAATGTAAAAGGTACTGGTCATATAGTAAGTGCCAAAAACTTGTTAATATAAATACTAATATAAAAACCAGTAAAAATAGAAGACAGCTATTTATATAGAAGAGAGGTAAAATCGAAAGTGGGAGTTATTGAGCAAGCATTTAACAGTCCAGGACTAGCATTGTGCAGGGTGGGATGCCCTGGGTTTATAGAACTTAAATATGACTAGAGAAAACATCAGGCATCCTGGGCTGTGGTAGGAACTTTCTCCTGGTGGGCACTCCCTGTTGGTGTCAGCAAACTGACATAGGTCTCTTCTAAAATTTGTATCATATGAGTTCACATTTTCAAAATATGAGTGCATGAAGGAACCATTATTTAATCCAAGACTGTAAGAGTGATTTCAATCAGAAATCAGATGGTGCCCTGTACAAATCAATAAGAGAATAATGCTGGAATTTTTTATTTTGTTGATGCATCCTATTCTCTTCACTTTTAGAAAATGGTTAACCTCTTGTATTTGTATTTCATTCATGTTTATAAATTTACAACTTGGGCATAATTACAAGTGTCTTGTCTTTTTTTTTTCTGCGGCTGCTCATACTACAAATCTCCATCCAGTCTTTCTTCATTGTACTTCCTGGGTGCAGTTAGACACCAGGTTCTGATTTGAACAGACCAGGGTTAAAATGCTGCCTCTCATTGCTTACTAACTGCAGCTTCTGGCATGTAAGATAGTAAAAAGTACCAACTTCATGGGATTGTTGTTAGGATTAATAAGATAATGTCAGTTTAAATGCTCTACAACTGGTAGCTGTTATTTCTGAGTTTAGCAGGAATCTACCCTTATCATAACTCATTTCCTTTACCCCTTTTCCTGCTTCAATATATCAAATGTGCCTCTTACAAATTTGTACTGCAGGTGCAGTAGAGTCTTTGGATCTTGACCTCTGTAAGGCTTTTCTTCTTCATACTGATATTGGTACCAATATGTTCCTCCTACTTTTTATACTCCAGGCAAAACCGGGAGGGGCTTGGTTGAAGCGACAAAGGGAAAGGAGGACAGGGTGGACTGAGGGCGTAGATAACCTGAATTTGGGCCCAGCAGGTCAACTTGACCTGTGGTTTTGAAGGAGATTCTGAGATGAGATGGTTGGTAAAACAAGGCAGGAGTCCAGCGGAGGAGGCAAATGGGGTGCACACAGGGTTAGAGGGGATGAAGAAGAAGGAAACCACCAATTTAGATTCTCGGTCCACTTAGGATACAGGGCAAATGGAGAAATCTAAATCTGTTCCATCCTCCTACAAACCTTACTGGGGGAAGGACAGACACCGAAGGAGGTCCCTACCCCACGCCGTTCTGGACTCAGCTCCCCAGCGGTCCTTAGAGAACCTGCAATGGAGATTAGGCCTCCAAGCTGCCTAGATGGGACCCAGAAGTGCACGCCGAGGACTCCGAGTTTCCAGTCTTCCCCCCGGAGGCCGACGTCGCCAACACTGAGGAGCTAATGGGTCTAGCTGTACAAGTGAGTAGGGGATCGGCGGCCGGGGCACCGGGAGGAGACTGGGGTGCCCCATCGCAAGCTGGACTACGGCAGCGGGCTGGGGGTGAGAGGGAGCGGGGACTCCCATTAAATTGGTGTGGGGCCGCAGGAACCTGCTGGGTCCCTGCCCAGCCGCCCTGGAGAGGGAATGAAGCTTCTAACGCCTCCTGGGCTGGGAGTCTCTCCTGGAAAAGCTTCACGTACTGTTTTCCCTATATCTGACCTCTCCTCCCACCCTTTCCTGAAGTGACTGTGTCGTGTTCTGAAGAATTTTTAGAGAAGATCTTGGCCTTGGAGCAGCACTGGGGATTGGACCCAGCCCTTGAAGAAGCTGCCTGAGCAGATGTCCCCAGAGCCCCTATTTATAGCAGGAGCCTTGAAAGAGCAAGGGTGAGGAGCTAGCCTGACTTTGTTTGTTTGTCCTAACCACAGCCTCAGATCAGGTGGATACGATTAACCTTACACTTAGAATTGTCCTGATGCAAGACTGCTGTTTTGTTTTTGTTTTTAATTACCTAATGCTCTACTGCATGTAAATAAAGCCTGTAACTAATGTCTCCTCTCTGTGTTGAACAAACCTGCAGGAGCACTATCATAGCACTAAGTCTTGAGCTATCATTCCAGCACCTGCTAACTTGCTTGGTCCTTGGAGAAGCTCAGTGAAATGTCATGTGGATAAATAAATGAATGGACCCAGCAAAGTATGTCCCATACCCCAAGTACCAGGAAAAGAGTGGACTCCTCCCTCATTCTACCCAAGCTCTCTTTCACCATTAGGGAAGATACATTTTCCACTCAAGGTATAAATTGCAAGAGGGTGCCTACCTATGGAGTACAGTAGACAAGCCAGCCACCTGCTGATGGAAAATGAAGTTAAACTATAAGTGTCCACATTTTAATTTCAATCTCCCATCTCACTATTATCTGGCATATATGTCTGGCTATTAAAAAAAAGTGGACTTGATTATTTAATTAGGGTACAAAGGCTTAGATAGTGCACATCATGGACTTTGAGATGGCTTATGTTTGGGGAGATTTTCTTTCACACATATAGCCTTCTAATGGTGTTTTCAGGCTAATATTTTATTCAACAAGTATTTATTGAATTGTTATTTATGAGGCATTGAAACTAAGTTGAAAGAAAACCTAACCCCTACCCACCCATGAGCTTAGAGTTGAGTTGGAATAGCTAACTATGAGAGGCTATAGGACAATAAACAATGTAGAAGTTCACAGGAGGAGATGCCTGTGAACTTGGTGTGAGCCCAGGAAGCCTTAGAAAGTCATGAGTTTGGCCTTGGAAGAATTTGGAGTAAGAAAGGAGTCATGCCCTGGCCGGTTTGGCTCAGTGATTAGTGTGTCAGCCTGCAGACCGAAGGGTCCCGGGTTTGATTCCCTGTCAAGGGCATGTACTTGGGTTGCAGGTTCCCGGTCCTGGTCTGAGCACATGCAGGAAGCAACCAGTTGATGTTCCTCTCTCACATCGATGTTTCTCTCTCTCCCCCCACCTCTCTTCCTTCCACTCTCTCTAGAAATCGATGGAGAAAATGCCCTTGGGTGAGGATTTAAAAAAGGAAAAGAAAGGAGTCAGGTTTTAGATGATAGAGGGTAGAATAGGCCCTTGCCACAGGTTCCTTGCTGCTAGTCTTAGAGGCCAAGTGCCCATATTCACCTTCCTGAAGTACTCATTCATATTTTGAGTCCATACTGCATAAGCTGGCACAGAGTCCTCTACAGTGGCCTCTACCCAACTTAAAAGTCTTACCTCAGTGTTTCCTAAGACAGACCCAGAAAGAGTGGTGTGTCTACACAACATAGCACAGAGGACACTTTGTGCTACCCACTGTTGTACACTTGTGTCCTTTTATTCAAATGCATTGTTGTTTC